TATTGCAATTTATAGATATAAAATGGAACGTACCTCAAGTTCCAACTGTCCCTTGACCATAATGATACTGATATTGATCTCCGCGTGCAGCGGTGGCAAGGTGGCGTTGCGCGGTGGCAGCTGTCCAGGCCCCAGAGGCACGACGTCGTCCTCGTCACCTGCCAGCGCGTCGCATGCCGCCGCCGCCGGCACCGCCGCCCACATGCTGCCCTTGCGCCCCGTCGCAGTGCCTGCACGCGCCACAACCAATACTGCTGCAGCCCACCCGCCGCGCCAAGGACAACTCTACGCGCTTACCCAGCCATTAGTACTCTTTACGACAGCACGACTTGCATACCTCGTGTTACTTTTTACCGGTATTTAATTAAAAATGTACGGTTTGCTAACAGCCGGTAACAACACAATTGTATGCAAATCGCGCTGCCGTAAACTGCAATGAAATTTCAGGCTTACTTGGCTCTAATTCAACAGAGTAAATAAGTAATTTTAATACTGAATTTGTAAGTAAAACGTTTATCGCATTAAAACACCAATTTCAAAGGAACAAATTAAAATACAAAACGAGAAACCATTCAATTGAACACTTAATGAAAATAAACATTTACATGAAAATAAGCACGTCAAACAGCTTCGTGCCAGTGTATAACAGTCCCGTATACATAGAATTCAAATCGACTCCTTTCCTAAACACACACATATAATATAAAAAGGATAAGCGTTGTAACGTGTGCAGCCAAGAGTGTAGTCGAGTCTAATAGTTGCCTTAAGCGGTCTTCAATTCATTATGGTAAGCATGTGTCATGAGCAGCCATTGTAATAGTCAGTAAATTTTATAATTAATTTGTTGATACTAAATGTTCTATTTTATTAAAATAGCTCATGCCACTGCTAGGTTCTCGAGCCCGAGTGTGTGCGCTACATCAACTTGGCGACCGCGACCTATAGCGGCGACGCCTACAAGAACATTCTTTCTTGTTCACTAGCAATAATTCATTCCCTAGTCCAGAAAAGTAAAACGTACTCGATAAAAATTGTGTTTATCCAGCTACGGCCTAAGATAAGATATGTACAGAAAATCTAATAGAATGCGCATCGTTATAATGAGTGACATTCGCAGAGGTGATGAATTCCATAATATCCTAGCGACAAAATGCCATCGAGGTGAACGTAGACGGGCAGCCGAACAGACGGAACACAGAAACAGATGAAGTGAGCGTGATCGCCCGCGGCCGGGCATGCGTCAGGACAGAACAGTACAGACACAGTGAAGTGATGAGAAGCTTCGGGCGCAGCCACATTCAACGGTGCGTGCGCGCGGCCGCCGCGCAAGCGATGTATGACCCATGCTACTACGTGGCCTGAGACCCCTCTTCTAAGTCTCGACCGGCACGTGTCCCCGACGTCGCTTATTCTATATCCAGCCGTGGGCAGGAGGTGGCGACACGGAATAAGAAACTCGATCTTGTGCCGGTACGGAGACAGAATCGGAATACGGAGGCTGGCGGCCGACAGACGTCACAAGGGATCGCGTACACCGACACCGCGCACGGTCAAACCCTGGAGTGGGAGCTCGCGCGGGCGCCGGCACGTATAGTCGCTTACCGAGGTTCTAACGGTCCGTTGCTGCTGACCAAACAAGCACAACATAGTACAGGTCAGTACTACCCTTTTGTTTGCATATTTCAGTGTTTGCGGTGACTAGGGGTGGTTAAGGCTGTGGTCACATGTACGTCTTAGTGACCGGTTTTCTGAGCCATAAGCGGACTCGTGGTCTAAACATACAGGTGCTTGTTTATCCGTGATTGGCAAAGGGATTGTGATCAATTATAAACAAATGTGTAGTGCGTATGTATAACTCTATAAAATAATATTGATCATCATAGGTTCATATTTCGACGTTTTCCTTTGCAAACATATAGTTTGCTAACATCTTTGCTAATTCTATTCAACCACAGATATTAATAACTTTTTCAATGATTTTGTCTCAAAAGTACAGATTGAGTTTAGACACATCATGGTAAACGTTAAATGCTTATATCTAGTAATTTGACGTTGATCAAAACAACAAAATTTTAAAAACTTAAGTTATTACAATCCAATTGAAGTAACAAACAGGAATATATGATTACCGAATGTACGTATCATTTCACTATGGAACACGTCTCCATAAATCATGTCACTATACCATGGTAGCACTCCATTTATGGTTCACGCCATAAGTAGTGAACGATAAGTGGAGAATCACGAACCTCATAAATCACACTATTTAAGAACGTTTCTATTTCAACTTTTTACGTATTATTAGATTAGATTTTATGTTTAAAAAAAGGTTACTAATTGAAATTCTCTTACAATTTTTCCAAACAGTATTAACGGAAATGTTCAAACGTCCTTTTAAAAGTGTCATATATAAGCTTCTCTTTTATCACCGCATATCAGTGAATTAACATTACTTACGCCTGGCCGTGGACCCCGAAAGCGAGAGCGTACGGCCAAGTTCGCCTTTGACGGCTCGGAGAGACCTTAAGATGTCATCCGGATCGCGACGGACGCAGGAAGAACGGCGGCGCTCCCCACGCCGTGATGGCCCGCCAGGGCTTGCGTCTCCTGCAGCATCTAAATAAGTCTTTTTGTATGGATATCGCTCTTGAAGAAAAATTCAAGCAACAGCAACATACAAATTGACATGAAATATGGCTGTGCGAAATATGAGTTGTCTTATAGTTATATCGAAATAAAATGTTTAGTAATAATAATAACAATAAAATAAAAGAAATCAATTTAACGTGAATGCTTCCGCTTCGACATATTAGGGAGTTTAATTACAAAATTCATAGTAAGAAATTCAAACATTTCAGTAAAAATTAATTGTCGATAAACATCAATCATCGTAAATGAACATCACTGCACAGTGTGTTTATTTGTATTCTCGCCATATTTAAGAAATTAATAATAGAAATAACGCTAAATCATATAAAAATATTTAAAAAAATATTCTGTAAAGTTTTGCAAAATTGTCTCAAGTCGTATGCACCACGCAAGGGCAGTGACCCCGCCACCCGCTTGACCGAGCGATACGTAATCTTTCTCGATCGCTTATTTACCTATTTTTTTAATTATGAGTATATACCAGTATTGTTATAATGTAATATTTATTTACATTAAAAATTAAGTTCAAAATGTTTGCAAGTGCCGTGCAAGCCTAACCTAACCTTGGATCAAATTTGTTTACCGCAATTAAATAAAAAATAGAAATTTACGAATTTTTTTTTCTGTTTATTTTTTTAGTGATTTGGATTCAGTTTCGGATATAGTAAAGCGTAAATATGGCGAGAGTGCAAATCAACACATTGTATTTGAGTCTAGAAATTTCTATGGAGACAAAAAGGAAATATTGAATAATAATAGATATAGCAACTAAAAATGCAAATAGCCGGCGGTACGGCCAGAGTGAGATTGGCCAGAACGTCTAAGAGCTTGTATTAGGAATAGAGGTGGTCATTTTGAATAATAATTGCTGGTAGTTGTTGGCTAGTGTATTTTTTATCTCTTTATCAATTATTAACTGAATTTTAAAAATATAACTTAATTATTTAAATTTTTAGTAACTTTTATTTCATCTCAAAACTTATGAACACACTAATTCCTACTTATAAAAGACTTCCATAACCTTAATAGCCAAAACCTTATCTAATTGTTAATTATTAAAACTTAGTTATAAGTAAGGACAACTCTGACCTTTTTCCTGTTGCTGGAATGAAGATCGCCGCGATCCAGGTAGAGAGCGGGAGAAATCCTTGCCTAGCTGATAGACTTCCACTTCCAAGGTTTCCGATTGCGAGGAGCCGCGACGAGAACCGCCCACCCAGGCGTGGTCTGGATGGAGTAGGGACGCGCACTCGCCTATTGAGTCTACGTCATCTGATCATGTGAACAGACAATAGACTATTAGTACATTTCATACGGAGAATGTTTGTTTATAACTAAATAAGGTAGGAATTAAAAAATATATATTTCGTGTATTACTGAAATAATTTGCGTGGTAGTGAAATGATATGAATGAGTGCTATAAGTAAGTCTACTGCCTTTACTACAGTTGATTGTTTAATATCTATTACTTACCACATCCTGTGCAGCCTATAAAATAATTTTTTGAGGTACTCACATTATGCATTCCTAGCTTCAGATGCCTAATTGGTTGATATGAATAGAGTTTCGATCAGTTCGTGAAGAAAAAACAGCAACCTTATGTGTATGATGGTGCGAGAGCCGGTAACATCCAGAATAAAAAAACCATGAACGGCTACTGTTTACAATTCATGTTTAAATAAAGAATTTTAAAACAATTGCACAACAGTTGAAATACGAAGTTTTAGAAATTACGTATTGTAAAGGCGAGTCTCAAACTGTAAAATGTGACTCTGGATGTAACCAACTCCATTGAAGTATCGGATAGCGAGATGCGAGCAAAAGGCTACAAATCTACCTGAGATGGAGCGCTGCGAGGCGAAGTCCCCGCGGCGCAACGATCGCGCACCTGTCAGCGAGCCTCGTGGCGATGCGTTTGCTGATCGTGGCCCGCGCTCCTCTATGATCCACCACATCGGGCGATCCTCGGCAGACGCTTTCTCTATCTCCATCTGTTAACATTATAATGTTTGTTAATACGCTACATGGTATAGAGGTCAAAGTGGTATAGTAATATTGTAAAACCTTATAATACGACGTTGTTAAAATAATTATGTATTCATAAAATTTCATGGTTAAGACAGATTTTGTTAATATCTGAGCCGATTATGGTGTATAAATTTATGTTTTTATTAAGTTTCATAGTATATTAAGATATTTTAATTATATTTTTTTATTACTCAATTTTTTTTCATATATATAATTAAAACCGTGATAGTTGAAAAAACCTTTTATAAATGTTAAAATCGCCCGTTTGTTGAAAATATAACAAGTGTGTCGATATTTGAACGACTTAACGTTATGTCACGAGCAAATGGACAAAAAGCGCTCTCTTTTAAGGTTCACAAGGTGTCGTTATTAAGCGTCTAAAATATTTAGAAACGGGTTATTAATAAATCAATCTTACCGTGCATTCTCCAATCAGCACTGGGTCTATACCAGGGCAAGCGTCCCACAGGGTGAGCTCTAAGGCCCTTCCTGCCAGCAAATCGGCCGTGAGCCCACCAAAGCCTAGAGTGGCGTTCCATACGGGGCTGCAAGATGCCGAGGCTGGATCGGTTTCCACGGGAGGGCAACTTTCACTGAATATAGATTTTAAAACTTTCGTGGTTATTCACTAAACGATTATCAGTAGTTACAGGTTGCCCACACAGAGATGGCCAGTGAGTTAAAACCCAATAAACCTACCCGGGTTTTACCCAAAGCGTCGTGTTTTAATCCATTTCTGCCGAAAATCGTGGGCAGAAACGGTGAATATGGAATACGGAATAATTCCATACTTATTACAAATTTTGATATAAAAAATTTTTCGATGAAAAAGAGGCAATTCCACACAATATTCACCTTGCATCCTGTGAGTTCTCACTACTAAGAAGGCACATTACGATTCGATTTTTACGAAAATCGATTCAAGTGCAACGGCTAACAATTTTTTGTATCGAATTATTTTATTTCAAGTGAACCGATTGAATAGAAAGGCAATGTTGATCTTCTAAATAAGAAAGCAATAAACATTTTGTAATAGTACCATTAATTTGAACAAAACTCGATTTACAACAAACATTTAGTTTAAATAGTTTTTGCCTTCGATCTTGAGCATTAGTGGGTTTTAACCCCATTTTTTTATTTAACCCAGTGTTAACAAAGTGCCGGGTTAAAACCCGGGCACTTGCCCATCTCTGTGCCCACCACGATTTTTGCTTGTAAAAAATCAGGTCGTAGTAAGAAATCTGCAACTACAGTTAATCGTTTAACTACCAGTATAATTTAAGAGCTGATGTTGGTAACTTGTATTACACACTTTGTTATCGCGAAATTTAATATCCAGCATCTGTGGAATTATTATTTTTGCAAGTTAGGTATTATAAGATACATTGAAGAAAAGCGCAAAGAAGGAGCCTGGGTATAAGATGCATAGATAAGATAAAAGAGAAAATTACTTCAATGTTGTAAAAAGACGTCCATTAAAAACATAGTAAAGAGAAATATGGCGGGCCCTATATGTATAAAATCATTTACGGTAAAACAAATAAAACATTACAGCGATGGCAGCAAGCGTATCCTCGCAAAGGCTTCAGGCTCGTCGCCGTAACCCAGCGTGTGGTCCCGAGGTGGTAAGTCGTCGGCAGCGATCAGCACCACCACCAGCTTCCGCATCTCGCTCTCGAACCACACCTGTACTTGTGCACGCGCTGGCGGCCGCTCCCGTGCACGCTCTGCGCGTTCTTGCTCCTATATACACACAACCATGCTCAAAACATTATCTTTCCAACAATTTTATTTCAATTGCATTATGACTCAATTTATATTACTTCAGAAGCATTTTTCTAGTCGAGTCATCTTACAACACTAACAAAATAACCACATCTCTACAAAAACAATAATTAACACAATTGGTGATTTGTTAAAAAGAAATAGTTACATAAATAAAATGGAAATAATTGACCAAGAGTTGATGCAAAAATCTAATTAGTTGTGACTTCCGGGAATGCATTGTTATCAAGTAACATGCAGCAACGATCAGCTATTCGATCAGTCCTTATCAGTAAAAGATAAAACCGAAACTTCTTATTCTGTGCTATTCATAGCAATCATATCGCCATCGATAGATTTACTTTGTTTTAAAATATATTGATTAAATGATTATTGTAAGTATATTATTCGAATGACTTACAAAATATTTCATTAAAACATGCGTCGGGCTGAGGCAATTCTATTCAAACATAAATTAATTAAAACATTCGGACGCTCTGATCCGCCATGCAGAAAGCTGTATCATGCTGATACCTGGACAAGCTGCATGTACCTAGACACCTATTTGGGATGTAGCCGAACAAAAGTTTAGATCTCGCTGAGAACGCTTATAAAAGAACCTTATAAATAGACAGCATGGTTTCATGTGCCAAAAAATATTTCAAATGCTGCTGGGTTACAGAGTGATATCAAGGTTGGCTATTGGTGTCTCTACATTGCAACTTTCTTTTGGGTAGTTAATGTTCAAGGTTCTACTACATGGTATTTGCAAATTCACCTATACTTCTGCGATTACAATAGTATGCCAATCAACAACTGTTGTCTAATATTATAATATGTAAATAAAGTAATTTAAAAATCTAATTTGATTTTTGACTCATTTTGAATATTAAAACATCATCAGAAAAATAACCGATTGTGATGGATGTATAATATGTAGGATGTTATTTATCATTCGGTTACATCGACCTTAAGTAACTGTAAAAATGTAAAATTAATTACAAATGAAGCGGTAAAAATACACACGTATAATTCGCCAAATATAGTAAAATGAATATGATTATAAATAAACATTTTTATTGAGATTTTTTTGTGAAATAATTCCACTAGTTTTGTTATGATTATGAATATAAAGATCGAACACACAGAAAAATGTTCGTCGACCCGGTGAGATTTAAACCCATGTCCATGCTGCACCGTAGCATTGCTCTAACCATCTGACCCACGGGTCCAGTTACCGAGTCGTCGAAATTCTCCTATGTGTTTTTGTCATAGATCTTTGTACTGACTTTCGGCATTCGTCGCCGCTAGTGACATCTAGTTAGAGATTTTTGTATAATCTTCTCACCGCAGCCGATACCTTTACAGGTATCACAACTGACGCAGATGTCGCTTTTCGATAAAATGTTTTTATTGAGATTTTTTGTGAAATAACTCCATTCGTTTTGGAGCTTACCACAACCTCTTAAAACAATATTACTTTACACTGACTTTTCGTACCATAACGCGCTTAAAGTAAGCTTATTGTAATGTTAAAACTATGATGTTGTGTTATGCTGTATTGGCAGCTTTGTGACTATTAGTCTATTTATTCACTCAGTTCGTACTATGACGCGACTTTAACATTAAAGTAATATCGCCCTTATGTCATATTTAGCAATCTTAACATAGTTAAGTTCAATGGCAACAATATTATTTTCAGTTTTATTGTCTTTATATCGATTTGTAATGATTAAAAGTTAAGTGGAACTTATTTATTTACATATATCTCTTCAATATTTTGTTTATTTTTTATTTAATAGCACATAGGAAATAATTTCTCGTTAAATAAAAGTAAAATTATGACAGCTCCATCTATATGCTCCATGGCGAAACTAACAGTTGTCATTAGACTATAATTCCGAATTCACAACGTGACTATCAAGACTTAGCTTGTTTTGTTTATTTTTCTCCATGAAAATGCGGAAAAATTATTGAAAACAACGTAGTTTTAATAGATTTTATTTTTATATATTTTTCTGTTTTTAACAGCCAAAATTCTCTGAATGTAAATAACATTAAGTATTTAAACATTATACTACGATAAGACAATTCGAAACATCAAAAAAGAAAGAGAAGGCATTATATAGTTCACATAGCTTTATCTCTTTCCTATTTTTAGTAAGGAATAGACAATATTGCGAAATCATTCGTTCTTTCAATCACTTTTGTAATAATACATTCATACTTGGTTCACAGAGTCGTCATGGTACGAATATGAGTAATATTACAATAAGCTTACTTCAAGCTTACATTGAAATAAGATTGTTTTTGGAAAGGTTATGGTAGTGTAGACGGTATGGTAGGGTAGGCCCCTTGTTATGATTATGAACACAAAGATCGAACACAGAAAAATTTTCAAACGTGCAACATGGACGTGGATTTAAGTCCCACCGGATCCACGAAAATTTTTCTGAGTCTTCGATCTTTGCATTTATTTATAATCATAACTAAACTAGTGGAGTCATTTCACCAAAAATGTCAATAAATACATCTGATCGAAAAGCGACATCTGCGTCAGTTGTGATTCCTGTAAAGGTATTGGCTACGGTGAGAAGGTTATTCAATAATCTCTTACTAGATGTCACTAGCGACGACGAATGCCGAAAGTCAGTACAAAGATCTAAAACAAAAACAAAAAAACATAGAAGAATTTAAACGACTCTGTAACTGGACCCGTGATTCAGATGGTTAAAGCAATGCTACCGTGCCGCATAGACGTGGGTTCAAATCCTACTGGGTCGACGAAAATATTTTTGTATGTTCGATCTTTGTATATATAAATAAACATTTCATCTTGTCTATATAACACAGCGCATTTTATGAAAGTTGTTTTACACAAAGGCTTGTCATTTCCGTATACGGTGCTTTTTACTAGACCATTATGCACATATCCACAGTGTGCCAATTTCATGCAGTTTTCAGTCGAATAACGATTCGTAACAATAGCTACAGTACGAGCGGAGCGGTTATGTACATGGTGTCGTTGTAGGTGTCGGTCACGAGACAGAAGCGTCGGTGTGCGCCTGTCGCTCAAGGGGTTCCGGCAGTGCGGTGTACCGTGCTCCACCACTCGAAGCACTACGGCTAGTCGCTGAGCGTCTTCACAAGTGCGGCATACACTACTCGTACACTAAAGTCAACAGCAAGACTCGGAACAGACACTCGATGCGCAAGACATGAGACTGTACAAACGGAAGTGCGACGTCGAGGATGCGGGTCGGAGACAACATTACAGTAACGAGCCGGTCGCTCGGGTAGCGCTCACCTCCTCCGCTTCTTGTCTCATATGTCGCGTGTCCTGGAAGCTGTCTCTGGCTGCTATCGTATCACTTGTGCTTTCCACTTTTGTCTGTGTATTGTGAACTGCTCGTGTTAGCGTAACTATTCGCGGAATATAATTTCGATCAGGTGTCGATTCGTTAGCTAAGCTGGAAGCTGCGGCGTTCTAGCTTTTCTAAATTTTGTTGATATTGTGGTAAAGAATAACTAATCATCCACCAGATCCTATAGATGGGCTGTATCGGGACGAGTCCCCTACTCTACCATTGAACACTAAAGGTGTGATTAGCCTCTGTCTACACTTACTGATTGAAATGTGATTCGTCATAATTTGTCAATTTGCCGATCGGTCCCTACAATTGAACTCCGCCCGGTGCCGGTGGCGAATTATGAAATTGGTCGGGTGATAGAAAAAATAAAAATCTGAAAATAAGTAGGTAGCATTTTTTCACACACTTCACTTAGGATAATCATCATTATATAAACGGTAACGTATAACGCATATATAGATAACAAATGAAGTTAAAAATATATGTAGGTATATAAATATTTCAAGTAAACAAACAGAGTATCCCTTTCTCTAAACAGTAAAGGTTAACAAAGTTAAAAGTACATCTACGTTCGTAAATAGAAACACTAATCTCTTATAACTAGACTAACATGGAAGATGTTCGACTGATTAGTGCTACAGTATCACAGCAGATCAACGGAGTCCAGCCCTTGCACTCCACATCTCCATCCAATCCGAAACCAGAGCCCGCATATCGCAACGATATTATGGTAAGTGAAAATCGATGACTCCGCCTTTGTCCAGAACACTATTATCACGAAAACTACCGGAATTTCGTATGTTTATATGACTTAAATCCAGACCGTTCGATCGAGAGTAGAAAAGGTTTTGTTACCTGCGTAATAGGGTGAGACTTTCGTATCAGTTTACGGAGTGGAATCATATTATGGGTTTCAGCTTGGACACAGAACGGCGCGGCGCTAGGGCTGCAGCGGTCGCGCCCTCAGGTCACACGGTTTGGGTGATAAAAGAGTACACCAATAGGCACCATCACACATTGTACCAACATCTATCTCTCTTTCGATTTAGGTTAGTGGATCATCCACATCACACTATAAATACCCGAAATAGGGCTCGAAATTGGCTTATACCTAAAGTAAAAAAGTAATTCTCTACAGGATATTGTACAGATAATTACAATTAATAATAAAGATGGGATTATGCTACGAGATATTATGACTTTATTTGTGGTGATCCACTAACGTTTTATGATTACAAAATAAAAGTTTAGACCACAATAATAATGAGTGATCCGAGAAGCGCAGAATAGTAGGCACCGAGTGACAGTCTCTACTAGTTTATGAAGGAGCGAGCTAGTCAGCTCAGTGTCTTATGGGTTCACAACACATATTGTTACAATTAAAGCCTAGTGGGTATTATACCGGGGTTTTCGGCAATTTCCGTCGGGTCGGCGACGATGGTGATTTGTCGGTATCCGGTTCTGTGAACCAAAACAATGTGCATTACACTACCACTGAACCTGACAACTGAGGAATTCCAATCAAAAATGTGCAATCACATCCTTTATCGTATTTGTTTCATTAAATGATTGCAAGAGCTAAAGTCTAAAAATATAATAAAGATTGAAAGTGATGAAAGAAAGATTTGAAAGCGGTAAAGGTGAAGTGATAGTGTTAGAAAGTCCAGATAAGAGAATAAATAAAATTGAAGTATGTGTGAATAGAAGGAAGAGAATAAGAAGAGATACTGTAAACAGCAACGTAATTAATTAGCAGGTTATGACGGAAATTAATTAGTCTATTCTATCCAGTTTAATTGCTAAACATTTCACTTGCAAATGGATTCCAATAATTCAATTGGAGTATGCAATAGTGCGGCTTTACATGACCTAGTTCGCGAGTTGTGGAAACTAACGAAGCCTATTAATAAGGAATTTAGATGAAATCTCGACGGAACTGTAACTGCTTCGGAGTATTTAAGTAAACACTTTAATGAGTGCGTTTTTGCATTATTACATCTGTATTAAAACGATTAAAACCAAAGCTAAATTGAACACTGAATGCAATCTACCATTTAGTTGTAACTTCCTGTATAGAAAATATTATGTTTATTTCGAGAAATAAAACAACATCATGTAGTATATTTTAATACAATAATTTTTACTAACTTAGCAAAAAGTAAGAAAAAAGAGGTAAAATTTATAAGTTCCTTGAAGTAAGTTGAAAATATGCATTATTGTACATCATAAATAATACTATCTTTTTTACCCCATAATGTAAATAAAAATAGTTGACTTCTCACAATACGTAAGTGTTTTAAATTTAACAGTGAAATCGATAAATATAAGTATTGATAACAGAAGAAACCAAGTGCATTAGGAAAAATAGTACTTGACAAAGTTGGATAGAGTGAAGTGATGCAACAGTACAAGAACGTGATTAAATTGATGTAGTTACCATATAGAGCATGATGGTGGTGAGTCGTGGGCGCGGCAGGAGAGTCGTCGAGCTGCGGCGCAGGCTCTACCAGTAACTCCACGTTATCCCCGCCGCGCTCCAATACTGCACACACTTCCTCAAAGCTGCGTTCTGTTAGAGGCACCCCACCCCATTCCAATACCTAAGAACGTATTGATTTTATATTTATTTATAGTAGTTGACGGGACTTCATGTGCATGGTATACGGAACTTTATGTGCGTTTTTCACTGTAGGTTATAAAACTCAGTGCATACCTTATCACCCTGTTGAAGACCGGCGAGGTCTGCGGGGCCCCCAGGAACTGTCCAAACTATGACAGCTTCGCGCCGTCCGCTCGCATCTGGTTTGCCGCCTACTACGCGCATTCCGAAACCACGTGCTGAAACATGCGATACATTTGCACTCCCTATGTAAAAGTCCATAAACATACGTAATATTTACTTCCAGATATTTTGCGACAGTATCGCTCTAATTGGCACGAAAAGAACTTTGTATACTTACATCGGTGTCCTTTGTCATTAGGGTCACGCCGTAGCGAGACGCGCCTAGGGGAGCGGTCGTCAACATCGTGTATCACTATTTTGATGGCTTCTGCGTCGACCGACATCTGGCGCGCTGCGGCAATCGCGGCAGCGGAGGGCGCCGGGGCCGCCGAAGATGGTGGGTCCGTCGATGAGTCTCCACGAGTTGACAATCCTGCCATTGCACTTAACGCACCTGTCCTCTGTTGTAATGCTGCTATATCCGGCCTATCACACACGGAGAAAAATCGATTTATTAGAGTTCAAATCTACAAAGACTAGATATTTGGAGGTTACATACAATTGACTGCCTCGGCGTCTAATAGGTCTGTCCTCGTCAACGCTCAGGCCAGAAATTTGTGGTGTGGATGGTTCAGTCTCATCTGGTGCTCTGTATGAGCCACGTCTTGATTGTGCACCTGAGACTACGTCCACTGCTGAAGATCTGGAAAAAAAAATTACCTTGTAACATCTAAATATATCATATGGATTACTCGGATGATCTATCGGAGATGTTAGATACCTTCTGGACATGGGTGGTGGTGCTGGTAAGTTGGATAGTGCGGGTGCTTGCTGGTCATCCTCGCACGAGCGCTGTCGTGGAGTGCGCACCGATCGCCGACGGACTGGCGTAACGGTGCTGGGTCGGCGGGATTCTACCGATGGCGTCGTGCTGCCGCCGCCCTTTAACTGCCGCCGCGGGCAGCGTGGTTACAAATATTATCAACGATGCATGTAACATGCAATGTGGCGAGAAGTGACAGACAGTACAATGAATATATTTAAATGCAAGTATGATGTGACCTTAAGATAATGTATCAAATGAGAGACGATTTCAAACATTATCAACTTGTGGATTGGATCTTTCACAAACATTACCTTTTCAAGTTCCTTCAATGAAGCAGGTGATACATCGGAATGGCGACGGAGCTCGGGAGAGCGCGGCGGCGCGAGTGCACTACTGCTGCTGCCACTGCCAAGACGTGCTTCTGAATGCCGCCGCTGCAGTGCTTCTAACACCGGCACGTCTAGTAAAGAGTCGGTGCTATCTTGTGCTGAAGGTGGAAGCCGCGGCGCTGCTTTGCGTCGGCAGACGGAACACTGCCATGAATTCTGCGTGGATACGAGCAATTATACCAACTGTACACATATGAAATACATCCATCATCACCTGCGTATGAGGTTAAGGCAAATGATAACAATAATAATATTTTTTTATGACGACCTCTGTGGTCAAGTTGTACACTGGTTTTCATAGTGTCGCCATCTCTGAGGTCCCGGGCTCGATCCCCAGCCGGGCCAATGTAGAAAAACTAACTTTTCTGTATTATCTCGGGTCTAGGACCTGGGTGTCTGTGGTGCCGTCGTTGTTTTCTGATTTCCATAACACAAGTGTTTTAGTTACTTACTTTGCAACGTATGTGATGGTATAATATTTATTTTTTTATCACAATAATAATTTATACAGAAACTTGATTTATAAATTTTAAAATAAATAAGACTAAGCATTATAACTCTAACTCTTAAGCCAGGGGTATTCCTGTGCAGTACAATACAGCTATATATAATAGCAGAAAATAACTTTTGATTTTATCGAGTTCTTGCGCTTACGCGATTCTTACAGATTGGAAATGATACTTTTTCATTCATTTTATTAAATCAATTTGGGAAATGGACTTTTGATTCTGGTATGGGTGTTGTGGGTAATGTCCCTGTGTAGTTTCTCTGGTACTCATATTACAAGAAAAACATCGTGATGAAATGCAGCACGCAGAAGAAAGTTCACAACTTCCCGAAAACATGTGAAGTCCCCAATCCGCACTGGAGCAGCGTGGCGGACTATGCCGCCCTCGGAACGAAAGAGGGCACAACTGTCGTATAAAGTATGCATAATTGTGCCTTTTCTCGTTACGAGGGCAGTATAATAAACACTAGCCTGAGCGGACACCCGTGTCCAGTATTAGGACGTATAAATGGGTTGATGATGATATAATCAGTAAAATATACTATTTGTTATCAATAACGTAATGGAAAATATAACAAAAACTTCAACCATATATTTTGGGTGAGAAGATCAAGCGGAAGGCGGTAGAACGACGTATATTGTATTGACGGCCATGATAGACATTTTTTGGAAAAGAGGTCTTTCCGGACGAACCCATGGAAAGGTTCGATCAAATATCCGCCAACACCCGCTCTCAATAAGAGGGACACGTCTCCTTTATTGACTTCTATGGAACTTGGATATTTTGCTGCGTCATCGCCAGTCACACGTTCGCAGGTGCCATAGGTATAAATCACACTTTATTGCCTTCGTGCTAGCGAAAATGTCGTAAGAAAGCATTATTGAAACACGTTATTTCTTTGTTTGTTTCAAGCAGTTTTAATTTTTCACGGAGACGATTTGATGTAAGTAGTTATTAATTTTTTCGAAACATTAGTTCGAAAACCTTGGATCTTACCGCTTCTTCATCGCTAGCTGGCTTGGAATATGAAGAACAATCCTCGCAAACGCGATGTTGGCAGCCGTTGCAGGTGTGAAACACTTCTCCTGGTTTCAAAGCCTTCAAGCATACCCGACACGCACCGGCACGAGAAGGAGCTTTTCCCGCCTCGCTACAACAAAATAAAGTGTACATTCGTAAATTGAATGATAATCAAAGACTTAGGAAAAGTCAACTTAATAAAAAACCTGAATATAATATGAATATAACTAAATGTGAGTAAGAAATGCCACTGTTCACAAGCCCCAGGAGAAATGATTTATCCGTAATGAAGGTAAACTTTAAGCATTAACGCACTTAAAAATATATAAAAAGAACATAAATCGAGTTCCTTTTGTTACTTCCCTTGTTTCGTTCAGGGAAGTATGGCCACCTTACCTATTTCTGCTGCCAAGCAGTAATGTGAGCATTACTGCGTTCCGGTTTTGAAGGATAGGGGAACACCTCTACCCTTGAAAACCTACTACCTACTGTACCTACAAGTCCCATGTGCGCATGGGACTTGTCAACTTATATCTCAGGGTGACAGGCGCAGTGGCAATGCCCCACCGGTCATTGCGTTTTAAAGCTCTGAGTGGCACTGCAACTGTTATGGACAGGCGTGTCGCTTACCACCAGACCCACGACTTATTCGCCCAACACTTGATATTATAAAAAAATTACTCATCTTCCGTCTAAGTTATTGAAAAGAGGCTACAAACGGACCAATTATGTGCTAAATGCAAATGTAAACCAAGTGAAGCACCCTTTGAATAATCTATTAAAGCTAAGTCTGGCCAAGGTTGTGGTGGCTGACTTTTAGATCTACATGTGTAAGTATATGCATGTACATATAAATAAATACATTGTGCTCCGTAAACGTTATACAAGTAATCGTAGAGCGTTTCTTTGTTTGTTCACTAGAGTAACATAAATTTATTGTTGTGTTTAAGAAATATCGACTATTTCTTACGTACCGTTCAGTTTTTGCTGGTGTAGTGGTTGTCGCAGGTGGCGGCTGCGTAGCTGGCGGCGTCGGTGCAGGCTCAGTCGCGACTTCCGCTGCACGGGGTCCAAGTTTGGTCACTAAAGCAAAAATTTGTTTTGTTATCTTGTTTTTTTAAACATTGCCGACAAGTTCCCACTAGACAACAAAGATTGCTTATATAATTTCTCGCGAATTGAATTGAATTGAAACTCAAATTACATTCACTTCATTGTTATGAAATACTGAGTTGGAATGAGATGATGAGAATTCAAATAAGTCCGCAGTTTGTGTCTACCTTCCGAAAAGGAATCCACTAACAATGCGTGCCAGCCCCAGCTCTTCTCGAGGTTCGACGGAGGCTCGCGCCTCGCGATATTCGCTATGAATATTGAGAAATGCTCACAAATTCCATCGCAAACTCCGCTCGACTCCTATCAAATACTGCACGTTTTTGTCTCGCCTACATAACGTACTATAAATTATGTATTTTGTCAGTGTCATGCCACCAGGGTCTTATGTGTACTTTAAATATTCTTACATAAAGGCGTATTATTTTAGGTCTTGTTTAGGCTCTATTGTCTTTATGCCTTTGAGAATAAATAATGCTTGTGATACAACAAGTACAGTCGATGCCCTAAGATACCAGACCTTCTAACCGTTTATTTGGTTCTGAGTATATCAGTAAGAACAAAGGTGTTAAACAAACTTAACCTTTAACCGGAAAAGCCGTAAAATTAATTTTGGCATGATTTGATTTCCTTATTGCATCATTAGTCTTCCTTCCTCCTTCCTTCAGGGAGGAAAGGCACCATTAATGAATGATATTGCATACGTATTACATAAATACCAATTTTCAAATCAAAAGGCTGGAATTCCTTTTCACTTTTCTGTTGTCTCTCGAAACCAAACGGTCGGCTAGGCGGCAGGTATCGTAGGGTATCGATTGTCCATGATCCTATATTACACCTAATGGTACTACGATAAGGTAAAAAGTTAACGGTTTATGGCCGTATTCGTCTGTGGAAATGAATTTATTAATCGCTTCGGGGCTGGAGACGTAAATAAGGGTTAAGGGCGCAGGTCGTTTCACTCAAACTCAAATATTTGTTTTATCGGAGCTTGTTAGGCGAGGTGTTCCCCTCGTCCGCAACCCTTGCTGAAAGCCATGACGAAGTTAAATAGTTACAACTCAGAAGTTGTATATTTTTTAATGAAGATTATTCACTGTAAGAATTCAGTCGATAGCTAAACTCATTTGATGGTTTGATCTCGCTTCACTGCTAGTGAATCTCTAATGCTGATGTTTTGAATGACTCGCATTAGTAAACTATTTCAAACAGCAGCAATTTGCTGACACGCTGTATTAGTTCTGGCCTCATAGTGCTATCCAGATAACGATGATACTGAAATTATTTCATTGCGGTACTCTAACAAACTTTGCTGCGAAAAGTTAAACTCATCTGTAATCCTGACACTACGCTGTTTTTGTGTATTTACTTGGTACTTAGTGCAACGGGCTGGTATCCGCAACTCGACGACAAAGCGCCTATTTTGCCTATTTGGTGTATTTATTCTGACAAAGTTATTTTTCTCGCAATGATAGATTATTTGTAGTTTCGTTAGAGGGAAATGGAATACCCCTTTAACCATAAATTGAATTAGTGGACACATTATATTCTTTTAGAAGCTAACAAATTAGTCCACCTTCTACTAATTTCTTAACTGTTAATAAATTTGTACCGTGTATCTAGTATCTACCTTTCTTATTAACTACCCTGATAAGTATTATGAATTGTAACCGTGGAAGTCTACAAAAATAAAAATTAATTACTTTCATTGTCGCTGTTACTTTGGTGCCAACAGTAACCTGGCTAGGCTGAGTAATATTATTCTAAATGTAGAATAATATTACTCACAATGAGTTTGTAGCAACTACAGACTTTTTCCACTTTTCATAGACTTTCTTTTTGATCTTGGCTTTTCGTGGTTGGCATTTCAGTCACTAACAAGGTAACTATTTAATATAAACATTAAATTGGGAAACGGCATTAGGAAAAGAGATAGAAAAAAGGGATCTGGCGAAGAAATATGAAATGCAAATAAACAAGTAAATAATATCTTAGACAAAAAGTATTTGACGTGACGTAAATCAAGAAACATAGTTTCGTTAACAATAGAGAAAGAATAACATTAAATACAGATTTTCATAACAAAACACTTACAAAGTTATAAACCAATGAATTGGAAACAATTAGTGAGGTTCATTAATACCGAATATAATTCCGCTTCGGACAATAACAGAGTTTCGACGGATTTAATTAAGAATTTTCATCGTAATAATTGTTGCGCTGAGTCTGACTGCTCGAAGCGCTTACGATTTTATCATTAAAATATTCATGACGAAAGATTGAAAGATAGGTGGAACAACAGTTGATTTTGTAATAATTCACTATTTAAGGTTAAATATTATTATAGTTATACAAAAAAAACATATTATTATTATTGATGCAAAGATCGAACAAACCCAAAGGAAAATTCCCTCGTAAGATCATCTGGATCAATACGTAGCTCAGTTGGCAGAGTGGTAGCCACGTTGAGGCGACAGACGCTGGTTCTAGTCCAGTCGGATCGAAGGAAGGAAGGATTTTTTTGCTTGTTTTTTTTTGTCTTTGTATCATTAATAACAAACTAGCGGAGTATTTTCACAAAATAGATGAATGTCATGTCATTATAGTAAAAACATCATGATATTCAATAAAAATAATATAATAAATAAATAAATAATAACGCACACACTCAACATAGCCCCGCACTAGGGAAACCCTGTGTCGCGGGTGCCATGGACACACACATAGACAACCACAAATTACACCCAAACTCACGAGAGAAATAAATGTAGGTCATACAAATATTTCTCCCGGCCCGGGAATCGAACCTGGGACCTCTGCGTGGCAGTCAGGTAACCATTCGGCCACCGAGGCAGTTATATATATTATATATATAGTAGTAGATTGTTAAAAACTGTGAAAAACTGTGTGCTGCTGAAAAGAAAGCCTTCTTGCACCTGTATTACGTAAAGGAGGGTACTACAGTCGAGCAAGTAAATGCCCATCTTAAAACAATATGTGGGGCTGATGTTTGTTTCGTAGAAGCGCTTAAGGCACGAGGAGACTACGCTTCGTTCAAGCTTGCAGTACCACCTGAGCTAACTAATCTACTCCTGAACCCAGACAATTGGGCTGTGAACATCTGTGTCAAACCTTGGCGACATATTTTTCGCAACAAACAGGAGAAGTGATAGGCGCAAACTCAAAACTATTAGTTGCTATTATCAAAATGTACGTGGTCTACGGTCTAAGACTACCGTATTTCATAATAACATTATGCAATCTACATACGATATAATCGGATTGACGGAGACGTTTTTATCTAGCTCTGTGTCTGATGGAGAACTGTTTCCACCAGGATATGTGGTAATTCGTCGAGACCGAATGTGCGACGCTGGCTGGGGTGGAGCGTTGCTTGTGGTGCGTGATTGCTATTCTGTACGTGAGATTACAGATATTGATGGAGCAACGCCAGACAAGGAACTGTTATTCGCTACTATCAAATGTAATAGTGTAAAATTGTTATGTTGTGTCGTGTATTTGTCTACAAGTTGTGACGATGAACATTATCTGAGCACACTGACATGCATTGAAAATGCTATCTGTTCGTACCCTGACTTTGATGTTTTAGTCACCTAATAAGGTGACTTTAATTTAAATTCATTTTCTAATAATGTAAATACACAATTTAATTTATTCTGTGAATTTTGTAAGTTACAAGACTATAATACTGTGTTTAATAGTCATGGCTCGAAATTAGACGTAATATTGAGTGACTTTGCCCCTGATAGGGTTAACGTTTCAGTCGTCTATGATCGTCTGGTTCCGTTGGATAGATTATACCACCCTGCACTGGAAGTGACGATAGAGTTAGAATGTAGCGCGAGGCCTTCGCTCTTTCGTGCCCCTCGGCAACAGGGTATATGTCCTGATTGGAATTGGCGTAAAGCGGACTATCAGGAATTGTATGCGGCTTTATCTAAAATAGACTGGGCTGGTTTGTTCGAAGTTCGACATGCTGATGAGGCTGTTGGATATTTTTATTCAAAAATATACGAGTGCTGCAATCGTTTCGTACCAGTCAGGAAACATTGCCAACGCGATTTGCGATACGTATACCCGACATGGTATACTGCTGAAATTATACTGAACTTAAAGTATAAACACTATCATCTTAAAAGAATGAAATCTGATGGAAAGGAATATAACGTAGAGCTGTACAAATACTACAGGTGGCACGGTAAAAAACTAATAAATGACGCGTATCGGCAGCATATAAGTAGGTTGCAAAAAAGTATAATTAATGAACCAGCTCGATTCTGGGGATATAAGTCTAGTCTTAAAGATAAGAGAAAGGACAGGCACTGTACAGATGTCTTTTCTTACGACGGTGCGGAAGTGTCTGGACAGGCTGCTGCGGATGCTTTCGCGCGATATTTCAGCTCTGTTTTCCTATCGGATCAGCCGCAACTGGACCCTGCAGATGCTGCTCGAGCTGCTCAACCAGTATTGGGCACTAGGGATGTAGCTGTTGTGGGCGTAAGCGGGGACGATATTAAAGCTGCAATTAAGCGTTTAAAAACGAAGTCCGCGTGGGGTCCTGATGGAGTGCCAGTGTTTTTGGCAAAGGATTGTATGTCAGCTTTTCAAAGACCGCTGATTTACATATACAACCTCTGTCTTGACTCTTCAATATACCCGTTGTGCTGGAAACTATCGCGTGTGACGCCAGTGCCAAAAGGAGACGCTAAAGGCGATGTAACGCAATACAGACCTATTGCTGTACTTTCTGTGTTTGCGAAAATATTTGAATCCATCCTTAATACGCGCATTAGTGGACAAATAAATGGATTGCTCCATAGTAGCCAGCATGGCTTTCGTCCTGCTCGGTCTACTACGACAAATCTTATCGAGTTGGTAGATTATGTATCTGCAGAGATGGATGCAGGTCTTCAGGTAGACGCTGCATACTTTGACTTCAAGAAAGCATTTGACCTAGTGGACAATGACATATTATTAACGAAATTGGCGATGGCTGGTTGTACGCCTAAACTCCTACGGTTTTTTGCCAGCTACCTAGAAAATAGGCGCCAGTTTGTAAAAGTGCAAGGTTTTGAGTCACCAGAATACTACACAAGATCTGGTGTAAGCCAAGGAAGTACTCTGGGTCCAACTCTATTTTTATTAATGATTAACGACTTACCTAAAACTATTCGTAATGCTCGTTGTCTTCTTTTTGCGGACGATCTTAAGATATTTCTGGGGGTGAGGGATATTGGTGATTCAACTGCCTTGCAAATGGATATTGATGCGGTGTCGGAATGGAGTTTGACTAATCGTATGCCCTTCAATGACTCAAAATGTAAAGTAATTACTTTTACCCGTAAACGTTGCCCAATACTGGTAAATTACATATTATTTGACGCCTGTATAGATAGAGTTTTTGACATTAGTGACTTAGGATTAACGTTAGATAGTAAGTTAGACTTTCACAAACACGTGACGGTAACCTGTAAAAAGGCGAATAGGATTTTAGGATTTGTTATACGGACATCATATGAATTCAATGACGTGGCTGTGGCGAGGATGTTGTACAGCGCCTACGTACGCAGCAAGCTGGAATATGCAGCTGTAGTCTGGGACCCTTATGAAGATAAATACTCTATAATGTTGGAACGAGTTCAGCGTAAGTTTGCACGTTGGCTTTATAAACGGCAGTACGGGTATTACCCGTACTTGTATCCATCGCTTTTTGTTTCGGGTATGGTAGAGTTGGACACTTTGTCTCGGAGGCGAAAGATGCAGCTGCTGGCTCATTTTGTTTCCGCGATCCACCACAGGGTGGATAGTGACATAATAAGTAAGGTGGATCTGTTGGTGCCCACTCGTATCCTGTGGAGTGATGAGGGTGCGGTGGCCCCGCGCCGATATCCACGGCTGTTAGGCAAGCCCCGCACGCGCACATTGTACGCTGAAAACGCGCCTACCATTCGCGCAATAAGCCTGATCGGGGACATACTCACTCAATGTGACTCAATTGATTTATTCGCTGATCGCGTTGGCTATATATGTAGAGAGATGTCTCCCTACATTGTGTAGTCAGCGTTATCATAAAATGTTAGAATAAGGACTAGAATAATTTGCTGTTAACTATTTTTTGAATTGTAATACTTATCATAATAATTGTATGACTTGTAAGCGCTTTGGCTACTTAGCTGTTAGTTTGCAATGTATGAATAAATAAATAAATTAAAAAAAATGCCCTTAATGTTATTGCACTGCAAAATTCGTAGGAGCTAACACTAAATTACAAATTGTCGGAGATAGTGCAGTTACGCGTAACTAGCATACGTTATGAAGTTGCAATTTCGATAAGTTAGGGGCCAAATCAAATCCGCATTAACGTCGTGGCAACCAAATTAGCCTGATTTCATGCAATCTATTGTTATCAGTTCGTATTGTGACGGTGTGACCTCCTTTCACCGTCATCTCAATTCTTTGTATCGCCTCTCTCCGCTTGTATCCTATCATTTTTTTTATTTTACATGTATTTAAATTTTAAATTTGAATTGTTCCATCTTCCTTCACTTTCTCATTTTGTTTTCATACCACGGTCACTCCCAGCTCGACCGCCACATCAGTCAGAGCTGTTAATAAGCTAATCATGTGTAATAATTGATAAGTCTACACCCTTCATGTATCTATTTCTGTAATTCAGTTTCTCGGCCCATTTAGGGGTAAGTTCCTTAATAATAAAGTGTAGGGAGTGTTTTATACTGTTATACCTGTTTTTTTTTACATTTACCTTTATATTGTTACAGCCTTTCTTTAAACTTTACTTCTTTAATAAATTTTGTGGACCGGAAATTTCCCATTTCATTGCCGTGAACCTGTTCACGGCTAGTTAGGGTTACAACCCTTTCAGTATATAACGTAAATTAATGCCGAATGTGCAAAAATCAAAGTCACAGCCATTGAAATAATACCCTCTCATGTAAAATTTGATTTCGTGAAGATTCGCGCCTTTTACCAATACTACATGCGCGCCTTTGCACTATCCGCGACGAAATGTCAAATGACAATCGACTAATTACCTGGACTTAAACTAAGGAATTCCCTGAACAAATAATTAGTACCAGAGTAAATATTTTTTTGTTTATTTTTTAATAAGTCAATTGAACTCTCTTGAAATTAAGATGTGTACTTTCTGCTACGGTCTACGGACGGTAATTATTTTTATTTTTATTATTAGTGCTTCGGGTGCACCATCCAGAGCACCTAGATCAGAAATAATTTAAAAACTTCGTTTCCTAAATTGGTCCTAACGGAAACTGTACCCAGGACTTCAAACGTCATAATACTAATCGTCAAATGTAGTTAAGTGAAATGATAGTCCACTTTTGTCGCTCATATTTCCTGGATACAATTGTGGTCAACAACTTAATTTGACAAAGAGCCCAAAATAACATTCTCAGGGCATTAACTGCTGCAACCTGATTCGCTCGCAGCTCTGAAATACACAACTATCCGGAAATGCCAACGGTACTCAAACTAAACGCTGTACAGTTCACTATAGGCATCGACTAGGAGTTCATCCTAACCATTGCTTTACATATTGTTGTTGTCATACCCAATTAGAAGACTGAAAAGAGCTAATTTGGGCCCATGGTCTTCTTCCGGAACGCCCTATATTTTCATTTGATTAAAGTCTGGTTGAATGATTGCAAATTTCAAGAAGAAAAAAACATTTTTCATAGATACGAGGAGCTAAGTTTGATGATCTGATTCTTCAGTTTTAATCAAATGTAACACTTCAGTTTGGTATTTCACATGTCCATTTTGAACGAATACAAACAAAAAAATGGAAAAAATTGCAAGCAGAGAAAACGTCAGTATCCTTTGCTTACCCACGGGGACAGACCTTATGGTACATATACAGAGTTATTTGTAAAATACTAACAACCACGCAGGACTATATTACTAATATCATTAACAACAACATATGTACATACCACGGAAGAAAGAAAATTATGTGGTCTGTGGTACATATACAATTATATACGAGTATATACATATATAATTATAACAAAATAGTGAAGTAATTTCACAAAAAATGATTAAATATCAATTCAATAAAAATTAAACAACTTTTGTTCCATGACTTTTAATAATTTATCATATTTCAGTTTCGTACAAAAATAAAAATATTTAAATAATTTTAAATCTCGTTTTTCTTCTTAGTTGCTTTTAGCTACACAAATTTATTTTATAATTCACGCCAAATAAAACTTGAAAAGATATTCTATATATCTCTAATATAAGCCTACGAAGTTATATTTTTCCGATTTTTAAAATTTTTCCAACTTTTCGGGATTTTTTTCGGAAAAGTTTCCACCATTTTAAATTTTTCGGAAAATTACCGTAAATAAATTATGTAACAGTAAATATATTATGTAGCCCTGTGAGGTTGTTGTATTTTATAAATAACCTTGAATAATTATATACAAAGCCAAATGCAATTAGTATGTTTACCTTTGTCCTGCGCGTTGAGCAGCGAGGAAGAGAGGGTCTGCCGTAGCTTGCCGAAGGTGCCGGGCGTCTCCATATGGCCCGACACCGCATTCGACGTATCCTCTGTCGCCACCATCTGCAACAATCATATCATTTACGTTACTTCTTGAAGTTATGTACATTCTGCTACTCTACTAGTAAGGATAGATAGATAGATATACATTTTATTGCTCACATACAAAAAACAAAAACAGTACATAGGCAACTTAGAATTAATATGGGCAAAGGCCTTATCGCTGAAAGCTATCTCTTCCAGACAATGTTTGAGGCAGAGGAGTACTAAACAGAAAGGGAGACGTAGTGTGCCAATGGTAAAATTAAATGCATTAATAAAAACTTACGTTATAATATATGATCAAATAATAAATAACCATATTATATACCTACATATATGTATTTTTGTATACGTGACAGATATATATATACGGCTGTAGCTAGTCTATCATACTCACTGGTCTAATGCACGTCTACTCTACACTGGAATTGCCTAGAAGTTAATAGTAATCCATAGAAGTTGGATATAGGTACCTACATATTATTGTGCTGATATATAACCATAACTACAGTTTCTTAATAGAAAGCTAAATAAAGTCTATAAAATTAACGCCAATTAATAGGTGAACATTTGCCGTTTTACATAGCTTGTGCTAATTAGAGCGAATAAGTAATGAATTAAAATGCTTTTATGAACTATAAAAATTTATGTGTACTCATTACACATCTGAGTGTAGCTGGATCTAATATATTGCTGCATTCACATATAGAACGTATAGTCCAGAATATAAGCCGCTTATAACAACGAATATAATAACGCTAGTATTTATTTTCTTTGAAAAGAAAGCCAACTTGAAATGCGAAGTAAGGAAGCAATAAAAGCTAACAGAATTAGTGATCTCAATAAAAACAGATCGCGTCAGAAAAACTCGTGTCGGGGAAGCGTCGCTGCGGAGCGATAAAGAACTCTTCATACAAAAATAACGACTCAGTAATGTTGTCGTAAATTTTATGGTGAGCAACAGATGGATGAAATACATCAGAGACGGAAAATCAATATTGTCGTCTCCCGAACTCGACTGCGGAGCGGTTTTATGGCTCCACTCGGGGATCACGAGTCATCCGAAACTTTCAGTTTAATAACTACCCAATATGGACCCCTGACTGATACCGCTGCAGGAATATTCTCTTTTCTTCGTGATATCTTATTGGAATTAAAGTTGGTCCTCCAACTTACGGAACTAGGATTCATAGATAATATCACTGACTCAAGTTCGTTACGTACCATTCGCGCTCATTACTATGCGTAAAAACTTAAAAAATATATCATATATATTTCATTTTTATTTTTACCAATTTGTATAAAATTAATTAAACGATAAACAAGCGATAAATTGAGAATTGGGACCGCGAGCTCTTAATTAATTACTGTTTTAACCTAGTTTTAAATGTCGCATTTTAAATGTCTTTGCGTAACTTGTTATGACCACGTATTTCCCTAAATCTCTGAGGTAAAAAGCTAAATAACTTGAGAAGATATATATCCCAAAAAAATAAAAATGGGTTTTGCGCCGTGTATAAAAATTTAAAAAAATTTCACAGTGTTTGTTGAGGAGCATCTAAGCTTCTTTCTCTTTGCTTAGTATCAAATGTTAAGTTCTTAATAAAATTTTAAAACATCTAACTCAGGACATTATTCTACTATTTGACTTTATTTAGTACAGTAAAATGTATATGTAATGGAGCTACATCACATTCATGATTTGCATCTGAATGTAAGGACAATGTAAAGGTAAAAACACAGCATAAAAAGTATGGCTCCAACAAAGGAGATCGTATCGGAAGTTGTAACGAGCGGGGAAACCTCAGGAAGGACGCTGTAGACGAAACGTGAAAGTACCCCGAAAGGAACTAAGTGATTGCCTATTGGTACATCCAGTATGCCTAGTAACAATTATGCAAAATATCAATTTGTCGAAGTGGAAATTCCATTGATGTTTGTGATTGCACGAGGGCGATAAAGACGCGACTTTAAAGTTAAATAAAAACTTTTATCGGAATTTATTTCTTAAATTAGAACTCCTTACTTAAGCAACAGACGTTACTTTTTTTTTAAATTAACATCACTTGATAGCTAATGCGTTTAGAAAATAATAGAGTAGACATAAAAAAACAGGTGAGGTCGATATATTTTTGAAGATGGAGAAAGCGGAATTTCCAGTATTTCCGTTTCTCAACTGCAATGAGAAGATCATAACTTGTCGAATTATGATATGTACTATTGCTGCACCTCCCGTATTCATTAGATTTGGCCCCATTTGGCTTTTTTTATCTGATTTTTTTATCGATTTGCATCAAGTGAGGAAGTGATGCGGCTATCAATAATATATTAATTAATAAAAACAAGCCTCTGTTTCGGCAAACAGAGGCTTGTTTTTCAGTTTGACATAAAACATTATTTTTATGAGTTGAAGAAGTTGGAATACAGCTGGTCAAGGTGTATAGAGATAAAAGAAGATTACCTAAAAAATAAAGAAATAATTAAAAATGTGTTTTTTTTTCTTCTCAAAGTCACGACCTTATCAAACCCTCATCAATCTTATCAAACCCGTATGTGTCCATGTCTGTCTATGCTGTTAATTTATCATATTTCTCCCTCTTTATTCTTCGCACGCTGTTGTCCGCTGAAAGAGATCTCTTTTAGAGCTAAATCCACCTTTGCTCATGTTTTATATAACTAACATTTCTGATGTATTTGTTTGGTAAAGGTGTTTTGTCAAATGAAATGTGCGAAGTTAATTAAGTCTTATTTACGGTACTTTGTTGGAAGATAAAACTAGGACAGAAGCAACTTCATTGCTAAGCAGCACATGCGTACGTTGATTATTCTACTTCAAATCCCTAGTTTTTCGGTAAAAAATATATAAATATGTTAATATTTCCGATTTTTTTAAAACCGCATTCTATGGATTAATAATAATATAAATATACTATATATATATGGAAGTCATGTCAAGAAATTATGCACCAACTATGCAATTGTAAGTGGCAAGAAATAAAAAAAACGCCACTTGGGCGAACAAACTGTGGTATGGTCGCATCCATTAATTGTACAAAGCATGCAGAAAGCAGAGATCAAAAATATTTATTGATATTTTGATTTGCTTGCGACAAATTGTTCTGTTTGTTCTGTTGTTGAGTTTTTGACATTAAAATTTTGAAACCTGCGACCCTCTATGTATTCATTAATTGTTTTGACATACGTTCCTCCTTTTATTAAACCACAATTTCTCGTTATTTTTTAAATTATATATTATTCAATTAAAAAATTATAATTATGTAATGTAATATGACTTTAAAAATAAATGCGAACATTGTATATTTTACTATTAATATTTGTATTGTATGTCTATTATTGACGCAACACGCTGTACTATAAGTGTAATCTTAAATATATGTAAACTGTATTTATCGTGTATGCTTACAAATAAATATATCTCTCTCTTTCTATTTCAAATTCACAACGTTGAATTCCATGAACAGGAGTTTTTAAATTAGTACAAATTTTGTGATATTTGTCAATCATATTTCAACATTTCTCCTTTGGAATACGTAAGTGCATTCTACGAACACTGTGACTAAAAAAATACATCATTTATTTCAAGGAAAAACGATATAAGTTTAGAGGTATTGCTATTTAGAGACAATTTACCCGAGTAACATTTCATCTTACCTATTTTCAACGATAGTTGTATATGGACAAATATTTATTTAACATCAGGGTATAGCGTTATTTCACATATCTAAATTCTATCACGTCATTATTAACGGATAACTTACTACTGCGCTTCCATTCATAGACATACGACTTACATGTATCGTGTCCTTTACAGTTCTCGCAATATGCAGTACTTGTCTAACAGGCACAGTGTGGTAAATAATAATTTGTGATACAATATATAGTAGCGTATTTGTTCGTGAAATCTCCAGGTCCCTCTGTTGGCGTTATTAGATTTGTCACCGCGCTCTCTTCTTTGCCACGCTTCAGTCCAATGTAATTGTCCTTAAATGACTTAGCAACGAAGTTTGTGGCAACGGCTGCCGTGTTCAACGATATCTTCTAGCCGTGCTTTGTTTCTGATATCGTGTAATTGCGTTGCACCATTTGCAAGTTCTCATAGTACTCCACAAGGAAGAATTTTAGGTAAGATTTTATCTGAACACTTCATGGATTTCACTAGCTTTGTAAATTCCATATAATATTCAAAAGACTTTAAAAACTAATATGTGCAACATAAAAGAAAAACTTTGAAAAACACATTAAAAAATAAATTTGAGTCAAGTCCTTTCTTGGAACCTTAAATGATGATTGATTACTCTAGCTGGTAATAATAGTGAACTTCACCTTCCTTCAGAATCCTTTAACGACTTGAGTTGACATTATTTTAGAAACTTTGCGTGATTTATGATATTTAAAGCACCTGCTTAAAACCTGTCTTCAAAACCGTCGGAGATTTCCCGGTTGAAAATGAGTGAAGATAACATTCAACATTGAAGGATAGCGACGCGGTTTCGATCTTCGTCGTGTGACAAGCCGCAATTTTACAAATTCATGAATAATGTATGTTGTGGTCCTGATCAAACGATAATAATTTTGCCCGTACTAGGTAAAATTATTGAAATAAGAATAACATCATGCAAATAATGTTGTGCGGCTTCGACACAAAATAAATACACATAAACTATACAAACTACACAAATAACAAAATATACACAAATAAAAACAACAATAAATTTTAATTATGCTTTAGTCATTTTAGTAGATCCAACAAATGGCACCAATGGAGTATGAAATTAATTAACAATTTATGTTCGAGTAAATTAAAACCTCATTGAATTAATCCATCATTGAAGGGCGCGTGTGGCAATAGGATTTAATAGATTTGAAGGACAAACTCTATTGGTATCTCGTGAGCGCAATACGGCTTCGATTAGCTCGTACCCGTAGAGATTTTCAAGATAAAGTAGGTCATGAACAGGCGGTGTTCATGACCCGGTGGGGCGCACGGGGTGAGGTCGCAG